GGGGGGGGGGTCATAGTCGTGCATGCCGTAGTCGTTAGACCGTTGACCTCGCATCCCTACAACGCCGGGACGGAGCACGCCGGGTTCACACCGGACCAGGCTCTCACATCACCAAGCACGAAGCACCGCGAGGTATTCGGCGAGTGGCATGAAGGGTGCCAAGGCGGGGGATGGATAATTTTTCGTTATGTGGTAACATACGTGTAGATACGTTCCTTTTAAGCCGTTCCTCCCTTTTGGTGGGCTCGGTTGTATGTGTGCGTGTGCATTTTTTTCTTTGCGAAAGGGGAGGGTGGGCACATCGGTTGAAACCCTGACCCCGTGTCGAAGCACGCCTTCTGGGGCGTGATGAGGCGGCGTATTGTCTCTGAAGAATTTGAGGATACGTGGTTGTTTATGCTCAAAATACAAGAAGGACGCGTGCTAGCTTGTCGTTTGATGTTCGCGGCTACCCGTTATGTTTTCGTGTGCGCGCACGCGCGTGCAAGCTTCTGTTGTTTTTCGTCAGGCATGCTTCCAAACGCACATCTCGCTTTCTTTCCGCGACAAAACCCGCGCTCTACATCCCGATATTGAATGATGCACCGCGTGTCCAAAGAGCCCCACTCATTTATCGCATCACCCGGCCCGCTATGGTTTCTACGCCACTCTCGGCTTCGTATTTCTTTCTGTTTTTTCCCGTGATTTGGTTGGGCAGCTGAACGGGATCTCGGAGAAGGTGTTGGTGTTGCACGGCCGCGAAGTCTCGATAGGCGATCTCTCGGCGGAGGTGAGTGACGTCACTGGTTTAAGTTGTTGTGTTGCTGTCGGGTGTTTGTTACAGAGGAAGTGGCATGTACGGGTATGTAGAATAACGGGATAGAGCGACAGATAGAGAGAGGGGGGGGAGGGGGGGAAGAGGGGGGGAGGGAGAGAGAGATGGAGTAAACGGGCGAAAAGCGTATACACACTTCGTGAATCATGTTCTTGTCGCGGATACGTAATGCCGATCCACAGCACCTCACGCAGTGACAGCAAGGGTTCTGCAAGCAATGGGGGCGGAATGCGTCTGCTGGATGTTTGCGGTGCAAGTTTTCGTTTCTGACAGTCTTACGTTCCGACAAGATTTCATGCGTGCAAAGAAAAAATGATTCCGGATTTTTTCGGCGATAATCTAGATGTGGTTCGTTCGGTTTGCCTTGCAACTCTGGCTTTCTCTCGAGTCATTGGCCGCACCACACGCGTGGCACATCGACGATAGCTACGAAGCAGAGGAAAATCCTACAAGCACAGACTATCGCCATGTGCCAACCGTGCCAACCGTGTGCCCGGCCGACCGTCCGGTGTCCGTGTCTGTCTCCTTTGGGCGTATCCTTCTGCCAAAAAGGAACACACAAGTGCACACTCTTGCATGCTGCGCACGCGCTCCCGAACTTGTTCATGGTGCAGCGGTGATGATGGGGGTACACAGGACGCCAGTACTAGTACTGCTGTTGCACTGCCGTCGATCGTAATGGACATGCGATGAGACTTTTCAAGAGCCCCTCGAACAACTGCTGTGCTGACACATTAATCTGTCTCATCCCAATCACGATACGGTTCACATAGTGGTTTTTCCTAGGCAGGTCTCCGCCGCCGCCTAAAACCATTTTACGTGCGCGTCTCCCCCCTTGGAGACAGATCGTGGTGGCCAACATGATAGCCGGGCCGATGCGGCGCCAGATGGCGGTCCTGGTGCTGGCCGTCAAAGAGGGAGGCCTCTTGTGCCTCTCGGGGCTGCGGCCTTCGGACGCGCCCCTCATCCGGAGGTGAGATAACCGGTTTCGACGTATCTGCGCCCCCCCCCGCGCATGGCAGATTTATACGCCAATTTCACTGTTTTGGGAAGACCAGACATTACTTTGGGAAGGGGTTTTGTACTTTTTTTTTTGCAAGTACCAGAACGAGGGAGGTGTAGGGTTTCTCTGCACGGGGCTAGATAATTTTGGGGTTGTTACCAGTTCCTCGCGTTTTTGATAGGTGCCCTCGCTCACCCGGAGCTAGCTGGCTGTGCTGTGCCGGCGGTCGTGCTTTTGCCACCAGCCCCGCGGGATGGTAAGGCTGGCTGCGTTTCGCATCATGGACAGGGGGCGCGGAAATCCGGACATTTTCCCGAGCTAACGGAGTATTGCACCATTGCGTTTGTTTGGGTTTGGGGTCGGGGGGTGTACTCATAGTCGTGCACGCCGTAGTCGTTAGACCATTGACCTCGCATTTCTACAAGGCCGGGACGGAGCATGCCGGGTTCTCATCGGACCAGGCTATCACATCACCAAGCACGTAACTCCGCGAGGTATTCGGCGAGACCCCCACAGCATGATCTACTCGACCACCATTATGGTTACCGCAAAAGGAAAAACCAGAGGCAACAAAAAAAAAGAAGCGGTAACCTGGTTGCCGAGCTCATTAAGTGATCGGCTTGTTTTACAACGTCGTTGCCAAGCGATGAAAACCCAACCCCGATGGCAAACGCCGATGAGGGGGGGCTTGAATTTGGGGTGGGAGCGACGGCAAGGGGACGACCCCCCCTCCGCTCTTCAGACTAGGTTTACCAAACCTAACCCTTACGCCCCCGACGCCTTGCCTTTATGGAACCGCGTGACCAACTCCGCGCGACGTACCCTCCCCTCTCCACCGGAGCAGACAATGTGCACACGTATCCCTCCCCACCGCCCGCCGACACACGAGGCGCCCCACCATCCCTGGCGGTTTAGTCGTGCCATGGCTCGAAAACGCGTACCGCCGGGTTTGCACTGCAAGTGACGTTTCGCTTGCACGTGCTTGTCTGTCGTCTGCTTCGTTTTGTCTTTCGCTTTTTTCTGTGGAACGCGGCTTGCACACGCAGTGAGTTTGGCAAGTACATGGACTGGGACGTTGACCTCGAGGCAAGCCGGGAAAGCCGAAAGTGGGGTGAGTCGAACGGAAGGACGGGGGGGCAGTACGTTGTCGGGGTACTGTCATACCTTGCATTCCTACAATGCCGAGACAGAGCGATATGCCGGGTTTTCGACTGCCCAGGCTACGCGTGTGTGTGTGTGTGTGTGTGTGTGTGTATGCTCATTTAAACGCATGCCGTGGTCGTTAGACCATTGATCTCGCATCCGTACCATGGCGGGACGGAGCGAAAAGCCGGGTTTTCGCCGGCTACGTTTCACAAGGAACCATGAGGTGGTCATCCTCCTTGCGCTTGCTGTGCCGAACCAGATATGCCACGGGTTCATTGGGCACCCCGGCTAACGAGACGTTTCGACAAGGATATGCAATGGGTTGATTGGGCATCCCGGCAAACCACACGTTTCGCATTCGGTAGGCTCGACTGCTCGAAGTACCGCAAGGGGCTTCGATCTTTGCGCCATTGTTCAAAACAGGCGCGCCACACACAGCCAACACGCATCACTTCGCGTGTGATACACTTGGGAGTATAATCTGCTTCACGTGGAAACGTTCCTGGTGGAGTACAGCTGTGGTTCATGCCAAATTTTTGCTCTTTGTGTAAAAGGTCCAAGCAGCAATATTCAGCAGACATCCTCAGGGGTGTGAACTCTATTCAGCACCAATTAACAGGTTCACAGGATGCACCGCACAAAACAACCAGCTTGTGCCGCTTTGCTAAACGTGGCCCTTGTCAACGACCTCGTAGGCGAGTACGTTCGGCTCGTGGGGCGGCCCAAGCCTGGGCTCGCGTTGGGCGGGGGCCTGCGCGCCGAGCTCGAGAGATCACTTTCTGAGGCTGCCGTGGCCTGAGGGCATGATGATATTGTTGACGACGCCCGATAGAATGCAGGCAATGGCCTCGCTGCTGCTGCTGCCTGGTGAAACGCTCGGTGCGTTGGCGAAGGCCGGTGTGCCCGGAGGCAGGGTCGCGAACCTTGTCATCGTAACTAACTGTGCAGAGCTCTTGAGAATCCAGCTGTGGCGAAGGAGAGAAAAACAAACCGAGAAATACTCCTTGTGTGTAGGTAGCATGACTTGGTTTTGTTGTATGCAAGTAGCACCCCCAAGTGACTCTACTGTATTCGTATGATAGCGTTGCTGAGGCTGCAGTAATCCCGTCAACTCGACGGGGCGAGCCGTAAGAATGCGTGCCATGTCTTCGTTTGGTCTCGCGAGGGCACCGCCAAGAGAGAACGAACGGCCTGGGATTTGCGAGAAATCGGTCTGATGAAATTCCTTGCAAGGATTTCTGCCAAAAAAAATAGAAGCAGTATTTTTTTTTTTGCTTTTTTTGCCGCAGGAGAACCCCCAATTTGCAATGGGGATCTCGATGTCAAGGTAGCAAAGTGCTGGCGGAGCGGGGGGGGGGGGGGGGGGGGGGGGGGGGGG